GGGTGCCGGGTGGGAGCGGGATCAGACCTGCTCAGCACCACGTGCGTCCAAGGATTTACTCACCCAGCTCTTGCGGCCGGGGAAACTGAGGCACGGGAGGGTCGCAGCCTAAATAAATCCCGGGAGGAGGTTGTGGTAGAGCCGGGAAGCGCTTTATCCGACTGCCAATCCCACACCTCCCATCAGCAGCCCTGTATTGCTCGAGTTAACGATTTAATCAACTCCCAAAATAAAATCACACCGTTCAGAGAGTGATGCCAGAGCGGCATCTCCAGTGAAATCCCAGCCGGTCCATACTGGCACGACACAGGGACGAGGGATTTTGTGCCACAGACCATTTGCAAAGAGGGAGGTGATGCAATTTTCATCTTCTCCCCCCCCCACTTTTTTGTAACAGCTCATTTCGCCGAAACTGGTTTAGATCCATGATTTTTAAACCCAGAGATTTTGGCCACTGCAATGCTCACCCCATAAGAGGGGTGTCCTTAGTGTCTCGGTTTTTCTGCTGCATTTCCAGGCAGGTCACCCCATTCCGTCCTTATTTTCATGGATCCAGAAGAGAGTTTAATGTAAAAATTTGATGCCTTTGCTCTGTGTCCGAGGCAACCTGGGGCAAATTCATCCCAGAAAGCCTGCAAAATATGGGATGTGGTGGCATTTCCTCCCATTGCCAGTGATGTCTTTTTTTTATTATTATTATTATTTAATTTCCACCGAAACCAGTCAAAGCAGCCTCGGGAAACTTATTTGATGTTTCAATCGGGAATTAAAGGGGAGGGAGAAGCAGGGGAAATGCTCCCTGACCATTTAACAAGATTACACGAGGGGATGGAGCCTGGAAACATGCACGGGAACGACCCCCGGCATCCCGTGTCCCGGCTTTGCCTTGAACCTCTGCCAGGGGCGCGTTGTCCTTCCCGACATCCCGGCCCTTCCACATGGTAATCCCATTTAGCAGCCCCCCTCAAAACAGGGCAATCAGCCGAGGGGATGGGGCTCCCAGCTCCGGGAAGGTGCCTGGGAAAGCGGCTGGATCAGGGCCATTGAGGGGCTGGAGGGGTCCTGCATCCAAATGCCCCACCCCGCAAACAAATCCCTCGCCATGCGCTCAGCAGGAATAATCCTGGCAGGAAGGAGAGCAGGGAGGAAGACCCGAAAGGCCTTCAGGCTACACCTTCACCTGGTTATCCCTTCTCCTATCTCTCCATCCATATCCCATCCCATTTAGCCAGACACCCATTTACACCTCTTCACCAGCTCCCTGCATTCATCCCCAACCCTCCACCCACCCATTTTATCCCCATTGCAGGCTATTCCTCTGGGAAAACACCCACACACCCATCCCACATCCTACCTGTCCTAGGAGACTCCTACTTATCTATGGAGCAGGGAGGAGATTTGCCGGGAAGGGCTCAGCGCTGCATCTTTGGCAGATAACCTTTATCCTCTTAATAAAGCTGCTTAATTCTCACTTCCTTTTAATTATCTGTCACTGAAAGCCATCCCGGGTTGTGCAGACAGGTGAAAAAACAGTGTCTTGCAGAAAGTCATGGATTAGGAAGGGACTAGCAGGGTCTTTGGGATGGGAGGAGGGGGCTGGGTAAAGACACACAGCTCTTCTCCTTAATTCTTCTCCTTTATTCTTATTCTTTTACACACGGACTTTCCTGGGGGATGAGAAGAGCCAAGGCTCTGTCCCAGGTGGGTTGATCCAGCCCAAAACCTTTCCAAACATCTCTCTCCCATCTTTTCCACGGTGCTGGGTTTGATCCCAATCCATGTGCCCCAGCTGATTTGCCAGGAGCTGGGCTGAACTGCAAAAACTCCTCTTCCCCGAACTGGGGAGGGAGTGGGAAGAAAACTTCACTTCTACCCCATTTCCAGAATGTCCAGGCTGGCAGCAGGGGCTTGGCAGGGCATAAAATGACCGGGATGAATCCAGCTTTTCTGCAAACCATCAACTCCATCCCCATGACCAGGGTCAGCTCCGGGGGTTTGGCTCTTCCAGTAATCCCTGCTTCGTCCCACAGAGACAAAGTCCCTTCCCCACCCTGAGGAACCTGCAAACAGGCTAATCCCTGAGTGAGAGGAGGACAAGGGATGGCCTTCCCTGGCACCCAGCTGTCCTGAGGGAACACAGCCATCCTGAGCCCCCAGGGACCGACCACCCCATCAAGGATTATCACCCCCCACGAGAAAAACCTCCTGGTCAAACCCCAAGGTGCCAGAGGGACGTGCTTTAATCCGTCTCATATATAAGTAAATTTAAAAAACCTCAATCAAGCCCGGCAGTTTTAATTAAACCATTGCCCCTGGTCGGACACCCCCCGGGGAGGGGTCCGGGCTGGGCAGACCCTGCGGGAGCATCCCCTGGAGCGGGAATGGATCCCCCGTGGCTGCCCAGGAGGAGCCCAATCCTGCCGGAGGCTGAGCGCTGCCAGCTCCCAGGGGATTAAAGGTGTCCTGAGAACAACTTAACTCCCGCAATCAGCTCGGCCCCCGGCCGGGCGATATTAAAACACCCCCGTAAGCCCCGTTGTCTCGGAGCTGATTGCAATAAACCCACCGGCACGGGAGATTAGCGGGTTAAACCCGCCGGCGCAGCGCGGGCTCCCGGCAGACATGTGAAGACATTAGCACAGTTTGGGCTCTTTGAGATGTGCCGGCTAATCCCGGCTCTGAAACGGCCGGGACAAAGGGCAGCTTCCGTCACATCGGCCCCTTCTCCTGGCACCAGCCCCTTCTGCTCGCACTGTCCCCTTCTTGCATCTTCCCCTTTTCCTTGCATCACCCCGCTCTCACCAGCCCCTTGTCCTTGCACTGTCCTCTTCTTGCATCCTCCTCTTTTTATTTTATCGCCCTCCTGCCACCAGCCCCTTCTTCTTGCACTGTCCCCTTCTTGTATCCTCCCCCTCCTCTTGCACTGTCCCCTTTCCTTGCACTGTCCCATCTTATATTGTCCTTTTCTCCTTGCCACGTTCCCTTCTCCATTTCTCCTGGCATCATTCCCCCTTCCATGCACCGTCCCCTTCTCTTGACATTGCTCCCTCTCCTGGCATCATCTTCCCTTTGCACTGTCCTCCCTCTCTGCTTTATCCCCTTTCCTTGCACATCCCCCTTTTCCTTGCACCTTCCTCTTCTTGCATCCTGCTCTTTTTATTTTATCGCCCTCCTGCCACCGGCCCCTTCTCCTTGCACTGTCACCTTCTTGCATCCTCCCCCTCCTCTTGCACTGTCCCCTTTCCTTGCACTGTCCCATCTTGTACTGATCCCATCTCCTGGCATCATTCCCTCTCTCCATGCATTATCCCTTCTCCAGACATTGTTCCCTCTCCTGGCATCATCTTCTTCCCTTTGCACTGTCCTGCCTCTCTGCTTTATCCCCTTTGCTTGCACATCCCCCTTTTCCTGGCACCGTCCTCTTCTTGCATCCTCCCCCTCTTCTGGCACTGTCCCCTTTCCTGTCCCATCTTATATTGTCCCCTTCTCTTTGCCACATCCCCTTCTCCTGGCATCATTCCCTCTCTCCATGCATTATCCCCTTCTCCCAACATTGCCCCCTCTCCTGGCGTCATCTCCTTCTCCTTGTGCTGTCCCCCCTCTCTGCCTCATCCCCTTTCCTTGCACATCCCTTTTCTCCTTGCACTGTCTCTTCTTAAATTCTCCCCTTCTCTTTGAACCCTCTCCCTCTCCTGGCATCATCTCCTCCTTGCACTGTCCCCCCTCTCTGCCTCATCCCCTTTCCTTGCACATCCCTTTTCTCCCTGCACTGTCCCTCTCTCCTTGCACTGTCTCTTCTTAAATTGTCCCCTTCTCCTTGAACCCTCTCCCTCTCCTGGCACTGCCCTCTCTCCTGGCATCATCTCCTTCTCTTTGCACTGTCCCCCCTTTCCTTGCACATCTCCCTTCTCCTCGCACTGATCCCTTCTCTTTGCATCGTCCCCTTCCCTAATTTTCCTTCCTTTCCTTGCAACATCCCCCCTCTTCTTGCTCTGGGTTTCACACCTGCCCAAATAAACCCTCCACCTGGATCCCTTCTTGCTCCAGCTCCAAACCCAGCACAGGTATGGAGCAAATCGGCTTCCAGGAGCTGGTGCTGCCCAGATGAGCACCCAGATGTCCCCACTGCTGCCCCCATTGCTGCTTTCATCCAGCAGATCCCAGGCCCTTGATGCTCACCTGCTTTTCATCCTTCAAGCAGCTCCCCAGCTTCCCACAGATCCCACTTTTGGCTCATCCCCAGCCCAGTGTCCATCCCAGAACTGCTGGATTAGAAACCTCTACCTCTGCCTAATCAGGGCCAAGCAATTCAAATCGAACCCTGGCTAATTCTTGCCCAGCTGAGATGTCACCCTGGGTGCCCAACTCGCAAAGCTCCCGCCAGCTCTGCTCTCCAGGTGTGTTTTCCCCATTGTCCTGGCTCCAAAATCCCTGGAGAGAGGGATGCCAGTGCTGGGTGGGACATGTGAGCTGTGGGCAGAGCTGGTTATGGTGAAGATGCCACTGGCAGGGAGATGGATGGACCATGAGAGGAAGATCCTCTACAAGGACCTGGGTGCTCTGTGAAGGTCCTGATCTCCGAGATATCCCAGCTCCCAACACCTTTGGGATAATCTGTGGGTGGGGGTGTGCAGGTGACCCCCACTCCCCCAAATCTTTCTCCCATAAAGAAGCCCTCATTGAACACTCGCTGCCACTCTGGGTGTGTGTATTCTCCCTCCTCCCTTTCCTCGTCCTTCTGCAAAGATGAGCCCAAAAATTGCATAAATAATTTATTTTCACCACCCCCCCCAGCCCAAGGAGTGCCCTGTATATATCCTGTATATATTAGATATGGCCAGCTATGGTACAGTCATATAATACACATGGAGAAAGGGCCCCGTGGGGCCACTCAGCAGCTCTTTGTCCCAGTCTGTGCAGGTCCTGTCCCCGTGTCCTCCTGTCCATCCTCTGACTCTGCTGGGAAGTCCTTGTCCTCCTCGCCGTGGTGGCTCTGAGAGTCAGGGCTCCCCTGTGGGGTGGCCAAACCCATTTTGGCCAGCTTGGCTTGTTGCTGCTCCAGGCTTTGTTTCCTCCACTTGATCCTGCGGTTTTGGAACCAGACTTTCACCTTGGAATCACAGAATCATGGAATCATTACGTTTGGAAAAGACCTCAAAGACCACTGAGTCCAACAACTAACCCAGCACCACTAAACCATGTCCCCAAGTGCCACATCCACGTGGTTTTTGAACACTTCCAGGGATGGTGATTCCACCAATTCCCTCCCACTTTAGGAAGGGCTTTCAAACTTGGTTTCTCCACGGACCACGAAGTCCTGGACTGCTGAACCCTCAGGCTCAGGCAGTGCCCACTCCGTCCCCAGCAAGATGGAGAACTGCCCCCTGCACCCCAGGAGCTGGACCTGCCACTGGTGGAGAAGGTCCAGCCTTAAGAGGGACACAAGTTCATGGCTCTTGGACAACCCTTTGTGCCTCAGTTTCCCCACCTGGCATCCTCCACATTTTTAATCCAAACTCTCTGCAACCACCACCCCACAAGGCTCCTGCTGCAGTCTGAGGGACACATCCCAGGTCCCACCTGTTGGCACCGAGGTTTGGGAGCCTCCCAGGTGGAGCTGGAGGGTGGAGGGGGTTACCTGCTCCTCGGTGAGGTGCAGGGAGGAGGCGAGCAGGCCCCTCTCCGTGCCCACCAGGTACTGCTGCCGTGAGAATTCCTTCTCCAGCCGGGCCAGCTGGTCATTGGTGAAGATGGTCCTGACCCTCTTGGCTTTGCCAGGCTTGGCTTTGAAGACGGGGAAGCAGCACCTGGAGATCAGGAAGCCTGGAGATGACAGAGAGAGGGAAGGTCAGGATGAAGAGGAGCCCTTAGAGAGGTCCCAGTGGGGTCCCTCCTTGGGAGGTCATTTCCTGGAGAGGCAGAAGGGATCTTCCCACTTGGAGGTGTCCCCTTTAAAGAGGTTGTTTTTGGAGGGGGTTCCCTATGTGAAGAGGTGGGAGAGGGTCCCCCATTTGATGCAGATCTCCCTAGAAAGGTGGATACAGGTCCCTGTTGGAGAGAATCCCTTTGGACAAAGTCCCTGTGAAGAGGTGGGAGAGGGTCCTCCATTTGCTGAGGATCTCCTTGGAGAGGTGGATACGGGTCCTTCTTGGATATATTCCCTCCGGAGGCAGTCCCCATGAGGAGGTGGAAGGAGCTCTCCCTCTTGGAGATGTCCCCTTTCAGGGTGTCCCAAGAGAATTGGGCATGGAATTCTCCCGGAAGAGTTCCCATTTCAGGGCATCTTCCCTTTGGAGAGGTGAAAGGAAATCCCCATTTGGAGTATCCTGTGGAGGAGGTGGATGTGGGTCCCTCTGGGAGAGGGGGTCCCTGCCTGGGAAGCAGGGAGGAGATCTTCATTTAGGGGTGTCCCTCTGGAAGAAGAAATCCCCTTTTGGGGAGCAGGAAAGAGGTCCCCATTTAGGGGTGCCCCTCGGGAAAGGTGGATTTGGGTCCCCTGGGAGAGGGGATTCCCCCTAGGGGAGCAGGATGGAGGTCCCCATTGGGGGTGTCCCGTGGGGGAGGTGGATGTGGGTCCCCTGGGAGAAGGGATCCTTGCTTGGGAAGCAGGAAGGAGGTCCCCATGTAGGGGTGTCCCTCAGGAGAGGTGGATGTGGGTCCCCTGAGAGAGGGGATTCCCCCTATGGAGAGCAGGAAGGAGGTCCACATTTGGGGATGTCCCCCTGGGAGAAAGGGGTCCCCCTTTGGGGAGTAAGAAGGAAGTTCCCATTAGGGGTGTCCCTCAGGAGAGGTGAATCTGATTCCCCGTGGGAGAAAGGGTTCCCCCTTGGGGAACAGGAAGGAGGTCCCCACTGGGGGTATCCTGTGGGGGAGGTGGATGTGGGTCCCTCTGGGAGAGGGGGTCCCTGCTTTGGAAGCAGGAAGGAGGTCCCCATTTAGGGGTGTCCCCCAGGAGAGGTGAATCTGGTTCCCCGTGGGAGAAGGGATCCCCTTTGGGGAGCAGGAAGGAGGTCCCCATTGGCGATGTCCCCCCCGGGAGCAGCAGAGGGGGGTCCCTGTGCGGGGTTTGGGGGGGCTGTCGGTACCTGTAGCCCCGAGGCTGGCGGCCCATGCGGGGGTTCCCCCGCAGCAGTCGGTGCAGAGCGGCGGCAGGAGCGGGGCTGGAGCCGGGGGGGACCCCCAGAGCGGCGGCGGGGGGGGCTCAGGGCGAGGCGAGGGTCCCGAGGGTCCCAGGAGCGCGGCGATGGTGAAGGAGCGGCCGGGGGGCGCCGGGCTGGGGGTCGGGGTCGGCATCGCGGGGCCACCCGGGGCAGCGCTGCCCGCCCGCCTTTATGGGGCCCGGGGGCACCGCGGGGGCGGAGGGGACGGGGAGGGGCCCGAGACTCCTCCGTGTCCCCTCCCTGTCCCTCTGCCCTCCATGGGGATGTCCCCGTGCCGAGTTCTCTGCCCTCGGTGGGGATGTCCCCCCACCATGTCCCCCTGCTCTCGATGGGGATGTCCCCTGCCATGTCCCCCAGCTCCTGATGGCGATGTCCCCTCCCCTGTGTCCCCTTGCTCTCGATGGGGATGTCCCCCTGCCCTCAACTGGGATGTCCCCCCTCCATGTCCCCCTGCCCTCGGTGGGGATGTGTCCCCCTCCAAGGGGATGCCTCCTCCTCTCCATGTCCCCCTGCCCCCGTTTGGGATGTTCTCCCACGTCCCCCTGCCCTCGGTGGGGATGTCCCCTCCATGTCCCCCTGCCTCGGGGGCAGAGCCCCCCATTTATCCTCCCCCAGGGGGGCTTTGGCCCCACATTACTCAGGCAGGAGCATCCAGCACCCAGGGGACACCACAGTGTCACCCCGAGGCCACCAAATTCCCAGTGGGGGACTCGGGGTCCCCCTTGGTGTCCTCTTGGTACCCTGAGCTTACCTTCCCATCCTGGACCCCCCCGGCAGAGCTGCTTTTTGGGGTGTCAACAACACCCCAGGCCAGGGAGAAGGGACAGGAGCAGGGAAGCTCCAGGAGGCAGTGCCAGAGGCAGGGGGGGGTCTCCCTGCACCCCCCCCCAGCTCTCCTCGCTCGGCTGATGGGATTCAGATGGTCATTAGGGTTTGAGATCCTTAAAAATCCCGCAGCTTTTCCTAATGAGCTGGGAAAAGTCACACCTCGGCCGGCGCCGTGGGGGGGGAGAGCCCCGGTCAAAGACTCCTCCGGGGGCTCGGGGGGTTTATTGGGGAGGAAATGGGGGAGTCGGGGGGCCGGGGCCACATCTGCACCGCAGCAGCCCCCTCGTTGGGCTTTCCCGATGGATAATCCCAGTACGTGCAGCCTCCCGAGCCGGGAATAACCCCGAGGAGCTGGGAAAGTCATTACGGAGCTGTGCCCCCGCGAGGAGCATCCCCGGCTCTGCAGCTTCCCAGCCACCTCGGGGATGGAGATGGGGATGGGGGACCCCAATTTCCATGCTCTGGGCCACATCCCAGCCTGGAATCTGCAGGTGGAGGCTTCCCGGGGGTGTCTGTGCACCAAAAATTCCATAAAATCCCGCAGTGGGCACCGGTGCCGGGGATGATGCCACATTCCCTGGAGCATCACAGGGACATCACCCTCAAACTGAGGCAAATAAAGGCCCTGGGGAGGGGGGGACCGAGATGAAAGGGAGGCAGATTTGGGGTTATTGAGTCTTAATTACGGTCTTGGAAAGATAAAAAGGCAGGAGGCCCTTGGTGGGCTCAGCTGTGTTTGGATAAGAGGTGCTTTCCCTTCCTTTATTCCCCTTTTTTCCTCTCCCTGTGTTTGCTGGAGCTCAGCAAACACCCCCCTGGCACCCTCACCCAGCTGGGTGGGCCCAGGAATGGGGGTGTCCAACATCCCTGTGCCAGGTGGGAGGCAAAGGGTTGGGATTCCAGGTGACCTGGAGCCAAAATAGGGATAATGGAACCCAGTGTTTCCTTGGGATCCATGGGGTTGAGATCCAGGTGATTTGGGCCAAAATGGGGACACTGGTTCTTTGGGATCCAGGTGATGTGGAGCTAAAAGGGTGATACTGGCATCCAGTGGTTCCTTGGGATCCATGGGGTTGGGATCCAGGTGATACAGGGTCAAAATGGGGATGCTGGGAGATATACCCAGGTGATGTATTCCCAAAATGGGAATACTGGTACCCAGCAGTGCTTTGGGATCCATGGGGTTGGGATCCAGGTGATATAGGGTCAAAATGGGGATACTGGTTGGTATCCAGGTGATATAGGGCCAAAATAGGGACACTGGTACCCAGTGGTTCTTTGGGATCCATGGGACTGGTATCCAGGTGATATAGGGCCAAATGAGGATACTGGGTGATATATCCAGGTGATATGTCCCCAAAATGGTGATACTGGTACCCAGTGGTTCTTTGGAATCCATGGGGATGGGATCCAGGTGATATAGGGCTGAAATAGGGATAATGGTATCCAGCAGTCCCTTGGGATTCGTGGGAATGGGATTGAGGTGATCTGAAGCCAAAATGGGACTACTGGTACCCAGTGGTTCTTTGGGATCCATGGGGTTGGGATCCAGGTGATATGGAGCCAAAATGAGGATACTGGTTGATACCCAGTGGTTTTTTGGGATCCATAGGGTTAGGATCCGGGTGATGTAGGGCCAAAATGGGGACACTGGTACCCAGTGGTTCTTTGAGATCCACAGGGTTGAGATCCAGGTGATACAGGGCTGAAATAGGGATAATGGTATCCAGCAGTCCTTTGGGATCCATGAGGATGGGATCCAGGTGATATGGAGCTAAAATGAGGATACTGGTTGGTACCCAGTGGTTCTTTGGGATCCATGGGATTGGGATCCAGGTGATTTGGGTCAAAATGGGAATACTGGTACTCAGTGGTTCTTTGGAACCCTTTGCTTCATTTCCAGGTGGGAAAATCCTGTCCTGGAGAGGTGAAAGGGAGGTGTTGGTGATTTGGGGAGGGGATGCCATGGAAACAAGGAGCACGGGAGAGAGGGTTGGAATTGGGGGGGTGTCACTGCCCACAAATTGGGCACCTCCTTTCACCAGCTCCGGATCCAGAAATGGGATGTGAATCCAGGGATGACTCCTGCCTAATTTTGAGGCAAAATGGCCTCAAGGCTCAGGCTCCTGAGCTAATTAATGACAAAGCTGCTCATTAACCCTCAGCAGAGCTGTCTGGGCAGGGTGTAGATTGTCTGTCTGGGGCCTCCAGGATCATCCCACTGTCCCTGGACAGTCCCTGGGATGATCCCAGAGCCCCTCCCTGGTTTTGTGTCCATCCCCTCTCCCACTGCATCCCTCTGTCTGGCCATTGTCCATCCCTCCATCCCAGCCCTTGGAGCCCTTTCACCCACAAAATTCCTTTGCATCCAATTGCCAGCCCTGCACTGGGGGACTACGGACACCCCAAATTTCCAGGGAAAAGGGATATTTCTTACCAATTCAGCTGAAATTATTGGGGGAAAGGGAAGTGTTTTGGGCACCCGCTGCCATCAAGTGGCTGAGGAGGATCCAGGCCTGACCCTCATTCCCTGAGGATCGTTTTGTTGGAATCCCAGATCTGCCCCCCCACCCCCAATTAAATCCACACTTTTCCCCCACTTATTAAAGGTTTCCCCACCCGGATTTGGGATGCAGAGTGAAGCCCTTCCTTAAGCATCCTAAGATATGCAGCTCCACTTCCTCTCTCCACAGGCCTGACCCAGCTCCAGGGAGATTTTTCCAGGCAGAATTTTCCAGGTCTCGGACGTGCACAGGGCACAGGTTGTTTGAGGCTCCAAAGGCAGAAAAAAAAAAAAAAGGAAAAATACTTATTTTTTTTTTAAACCCTGGCAGTGATTGACCTGGGAAATTCCTTGCACAGGCACTTTGGGAAGTTGAGGGCTCCAACAGGAGTTTCTGTGAATAATGACAGCTGTAGCTGTAAGATATGAGATGGAATGTGTCCCAAATCCCAAACTGGGGGTGTCCTGCAGCAGAGCTGGGCAGCTGCATGCTGGGATGGCCCCCCCTGGAGCAGGGAATGGTCCTCCCAGGGCTGGGATGGGTCTCCCAGGACAGGGATGGGTCCCTAGGACAGGGATAGGTCTCCCAGGACAGGGATGGGTTTCCCAGGGCTGGGATGGGTCCCCCGGGTTGGGATGGGTCTCCTCCCAGCAAACAAGTGGGTTATGCAAATGCCTCCAGGTATTGGGGTAGGAAGGACATGTCACCTCTAAAGGTTTTGTCCCTTTCCAGGCACCTGAAGGAAAACCGGTGGGATTTTATTCCATAATCTTCCTGATTTCTGTTTGGGGGCTTTTTGAAGCTGTGGCTCCTGGGATTCCTGACTGAGGACAGATCTTGCCCTTCCCACACTTGGTTCCGCTCCTTACCCGAGCTCTTTTGGGTGCTGGCAGTGCCAAAGGAGCCACTTCCAGCAAAAAAAAAATCCACTTTTTGGAGCATCTGGGTCCAATTCCCAAAGGCACCTGAAATACTGAGTGTCCCTTGACCCAGAGGGACCCAAGAGCATCCCAGCTGGTGAGGATCCCAATTAGTGAGAATCCCAATTAGGGAGGATCCCAGTTAGTGAGCATCCCAGTTACTGGGCTTTCCACTTAGCAAGTATCCCAGCACATGAGGATCCCAGTCAGTGAGTATCCAGTTATCCAGGATCCCAACCAGCTGGCTCCCAGTTAACAGGTGTGCTGGTTAGTGGGGATCCCAGTTAGCAAAGCATCCCATTTAGGAGGGATCCCGGTTAACCGGCATCCCAGGTGGCACCACTCCAGCCAGCAGTCTGTCAGTGAAAGAGGGTCCTCCCAGCACCAGCCATCCCAATTAACAGGCTGCTAATTACTGGGGGTGCCAGTTAGGGGCGATCCTAATGAGTGTGTCCAGAGATCCCGGTTATCGGGATCCCGGTTAATATCCCAGTCAGTGGGATACACGTCAAGGAGGATCGCGGTGGGAGGCAGCCCAGGGAAGGGTCCCGGTGGGATCCCGGGACGATCCCGGTGAGATCCCGGTGGGATCCCGGTGGGATCCCGGCGGGACAGTTCCCGCAGTGACCGCCAGAGGGCGATGCACGACCGCGCTCCGTCCTGGAAGTACCGGGATGGGACAGTGGGATTGGGATAGCGGGATGGGGGCAGCGGGATGAGGACATTGGGATAGGGACAGTGGGAAGGGACAGTGGGATAGGAGAGTGGAATGGGACAGCGGGATGGGGACAGCGGGATGGGACAGTGGGAATGAGTTAGCAGGATGGGGACAGCGGGATGGGACAGTGGGAATGGACAGTGGGAATGGGACAGTGGGAATG